ACTTGTGTTAAGAAAGGCAGAGGCTTTGTTTTTGTTGTTGTTGTTGTATAGGTTATTTGGTGGCCCTCTAATCATCAGGTGTGGCTATGCGGTGCAAACTTATTTGCAATAGGAGCTGCTGTTTGAGGGACCACGTGCCACTCATGTTATGCCATGTGGAGTGACGCTTACATGAGCATATATCACGATAGTTTGGATGGGGGTCTCTAGAGCTGATATGAAATTGATAGATGAAGGTTTTTAGCAGCCAGTGGCTAGTGAAATGGTGGGGTTGATTGAGGAGGATAACAAAGATTTGACCTACATTTAATTTTGGGACGACAAAGAGGCATGTATTATTGCTTAGAATGATACTGGTGTTGATCGAGAGAGCAATTAGATGATAAATGTGATTGTTTTAGTCATGGGCTACCTTGTATTTGCTTCGAGTCTCCGTGGAGGCTCTAGGCACATATTACTTTTGCTCTCCTGTCGAACGAGTCATAATATGTCTTAAAAATTTTTATGCTCAATTTGTACTACTAACCTATGATTTTCTTAATAATTTACACCCAATCAAATTTTACACTGAGTTTATCATGGAGAAAAAGGAGTTGTTCTGAGCAATTGTTGGTAGCAAATATATTCGTTTGAGACATATAATAATCGATAAACTTGAAGAGTTATATATGATCTGCGATATTATGAAGTACGCGTTAACCACGTAAATATACGTGTCGATCAATTGGTATACAAATTTAAGAGTCCTTTATCGACCCCATAGAGAACGATTTAATTTTTTTAAGAAGGTAAAATTTATAGTTACTAATCTTAGCTTAGTTTGAAAGGTTGAAAGCTTGTAAAATTTTTAATGATTTTTAAAATCCTAAGCTTTGCAAAATCCTTAATCTACAAGGTTGTGTTTTTAATAGTAAGAATCATGCTCTTTTGACTTGAATTGTGTGAATCATTGATATTCTTCCAATGAATTTTCATTCTAACGTTGACAATCATGGACAAATACTCCTTAATCTATTCCTAGATATTAAGAAGTGCTGGAAACCCTTATTACAGTCATGTAAAGATTTTCAGGAATTCTTTAGTCCCCTGTGAGGTTGCAATCTCTTACTGGCAATATTCTTATTGTACTAGGTTAGTGAGTATTATTGTACTCATTCTTCTAGTTTAAGGTAGTAGTCCTAGATCACTAAGAGTTTTAATATTTCAATTGACCAAATTGAAAGTGAAGGAAGTTAAAAAAAAATAACACGTCAATTAGCAATTATATCTCAAAAAATATTACATAAATCTCATGGAATAATTCGATTCATCATACATTCAAATCAAAGAAGCATAAAGAATTTATCCTAAGTATGCTTTGAGAACTTTGGGCAAACTTCATTGAAAACCAAAATAGAAAAGTAAATTTACAACAAGAACAATCTAACACGAAAGATATATCGGCTTGCTCCATTAAAATTCTCTCTGATACAATGATTTCCACTTGAATTTTCTCTCATACATTCTCACAATACAGAAAAACACTCATTAAATACTTTAAAATCACTCTAACACACTCTCCTAAATATCCTCACTCCCCTACAACAATTGAGTATCGACTAAATGAAGCACTCCCCACATCCTTCAAAATCCCTTCTATTAAAGCCTTCATATCGCTACATAGACCTCCAAATTGTCACAACTGCCCAAAGTTGGTGTTTGGCACCTAGGCGCCAACTCGGGGCGCTTGATTTCCTGGCTCTCGGCCTGGGATCCCATAGCTCTTCAGGCACCTAGATGCCAAGTTGAGTGTTAGGTTTTCTGGTTAAGACGCCAAGGATGGGTGCTTACTTTCCACTTCCTCTGTTCTTCATGTGGCTCGGGGCGCTTGATTTCCAGCCTCTCGGCCTGGGATCCCGTAGCTCTTTAGGCACCTAGATGCCAAGTTGAGTGTTAGGTTTTCTGGTTAAGACGCCAAGGATGGGTGCTTACTTTCCACTTCCTTTGTTCTTCATGTGCCCATTGGATATAAGGGTTCGTGCGCCAAGGCCTTAGGGCAAGTGCTGCCTTGGCAGCTACTCTATTATCCCGGTTGAATGAAAACATGGGGCAACTCTTAAGCTCTTGAACTGGGGCGTCTATTTTCCATGTTCTCTGTGCATTGGAGAAATGCGGAGATGGTTTAGGCGCCTAGGCGTCATGCATAAGCGTCTAGGCATTGTTTTGGTACTTAGCATGAATTTGGTCTTTATTGCTCCCCTTTGCCGTCTTTCAAACTGTATACTGCATAAACAAGAAAACCCACTCTAAAAAAAGCATAAAAATGACACAAATAACACATAAAATATAGGAAATATCAAATCACTTATACTACATATCAGTATAGCCGCATGCCTTGTTTGGTTTACTTCTTTGATGCACCTCCTGGAGATAACACTACAACTTTTGATGCAAGTGCTCCATTGTGAACTCATGTGGATCCCATGCCATCCACATTCATCGAGTATCCATGCACACTGGTTATCCCTCGGTGACTTATTAGACATGATTGCAATGAGGAGGGCATTAAGAGGGCATCCTTGGACAGTTACAATTTACACCTTTAGCATTCTTTGGTCTAGGACCATCTTGGGTGACGCTAGGTACCGGTTCTGCCACCTCACACCATGAGAGACATTTCTGGGTAGCTATTGTCACACCACGTTCTCACTGATAATATTTTTGGATGCCCATTGAGGCTCCAGTACCACAGGAGCAACAGTTCATATCATATCCTTTTGAATATTACATGACAATGGAAGAAAATGATGTGCATGATAATTTAGAGCAGCAGAACTGTTGTTTATGGGATTGACCACGACATGCTCTATTTTACTGTACCCTGGGTAGTGGAATTACACCGCGCAGACGATGCCATAGATGTTAGTTGGATATACATGTATACTGTATGATAGATGTTTGATGTATTTTTTTTTATATTTCCTTTTATTTGTCATTTGATATGGTATTAGATTTTTGTTTTATTATAGATAGTTTTTGTGTTTTATTATTTCTCTTATATGTGGGGATTATTTTTAAAAACTTCAACAATTTAAACCTTGTATTACATTAATAAAAATTTTAATTTGATTTAAAAAATTATCAAATAAACTAATATAATAAATTTAACTTGAATGGTAAATTCTTCTTATAAGTTACTTAATTTACTTGTAAAATGTCAATTATTTTAAAATCTTAAATGATATATGTTTATTAAAAAGGAAGATTTACATATGCGCTACTTAATTCTTATGTATTTACAAATCTAACACCTAAACTTAAAATTTTTACATATATGCCACCTTAGTTATGCATGGAAATGTGCGGTTCACTTTTTAAAAGTTAAAATGATGGTATTTTGGATGTGATATGAAACCTTGGGTGGTATAAATATTAAATGCAAAGTTTAGGTGTTAGATATGGAAATGTATAAGGATTGGGTGGTATGCATGTAAATGGCCCTTATTAAAATTATCTTTGAATGAAAATTTTTAGATAATCAATTTTTGCAATTTTGAATAGAATATGTAAATATTCCTTTTTTACCAAATTTATTTCTCAAAAAAAAAAAAAAAACTTCACTGAGAAAAACTTCCTCAAAATTATTTCCTACCATGCCGCATTGGCATTTTTGTTGCCGGTTAAAGTAGTGACAATGTCGTTTTCTAAATGTTTTGAATAAATGCTTATTAGTTAATTTTTGTTACTATTTAGTCGTTTATTAAATTTTTATCATTATAAATAGGGGTGATAGAGAAATAGCGTTGCCAGAATCCACACAATTATGGCTACGGAGTCCAGCCCAAAATAGTTTTGTTCTATTGCTCTCTACAGTAGATTTTCCTTCTACTCTTCCTTTATTCGCTTCTTTGCTCTCCTCGCATTTTCTTTGTGCCAAGGCTTTGGTGTAATTTACGAACAGATAAATCAAGATTCAACTATAAGATATTTTAAATTAAATTCAATTTAGAGTTTAAGAAAGGCACTTGAAATCAGAGATGCCATATTATTATTTTTTCATATTTTGATTCCTAAATGTTAAAATTTAATTTTGAGTTGACTTAACTAGATTCCAAATAGAACATGAATCAATTTTAAATTTTGAGTCTAAATTCGCTCAAACTCAACTCAATGGAGGTTTTAATCTTTATAATATTTGCACTTCTGATTAATTCTATTCAATATTGAATAAATTTGAAATGTATTTCCCTTTATGAAATTTTCATTATCTTATGTATTGCATGTGGGTTGTTTTCCTGTTGCTTTAGCATTCTTCTCCCCATTCTATATCCGTTATGTGTTGCCACTTTATCTCCAACTATAACATACATACTGAAGTTCCCTCTAATAACCACTTTCCTCTTGATAGTAGTCAGGAATGGTAAAATAGTGATCACTGGCATGCAACATGTAGTATGATAGAAATCACTGCTTTGATGCAAATCTGCATTCTAATGGAAAGTATGAAATGAACTATAGATGTTACTTGGATGGTTGGATTTTGTTGGGTGAACTTTGGCTTTGATTTGTTGAATCTGAAGTGTTAGATCTTTAGATTTTTTATCACATCATCCTATTATCTTCACTATCTTTAACTATATTCCAAATATGGGATGTGTTTTATTAATATTTCTTTCCCATTCATTCCTGTTTAGCGATACGAGATCTTACCGTATTAGTTTTCTGTCTAATTTTTGGTTTACTGGTTAGTATTAGTATCATAATAGAATCTATTTTTCCTTTTATGCATTTTCTTTTACTTTTTAGAATTTTTAATGTATGTTTTTCATAATTTAAAAAAATTAATTAACAGATGACCATGCACAATGCATCCTGCTTGGATAATGCATGCAGGCAGCTTTATATGCTCAAGTCTTTTGTTACCATTGCTAGTATAGTTCCATACTCCATAGTTGTTACTTCTAGACTTGTCTATAGTTTTCCTAATTTGCCATATCATTTTCTGATTATTCCTATGACAGGCTGCTAGGTATGATGACCTTGATGATGTCATAAGCTTATATTCACTGGGCGTTTCTCTCAATGCTCAAGACTCTCAGGGGCGAACAGGTCATTTTCTGAAATCCTTGATTCCTTGCAGGTTCACCAATTCATTTTGGCTTTTTAGGATGAAGGGAAAGCCATGGAATGTTAAGATTTTCAACTTCTCTTGCGTTCTTTTCACTCAATTTTGGCATCCAAACAAAAGCCTTAACGTTTTGCTATTAGGATTTCTCTTATATCTAGATAGCTGTTGGCTTTAGTTACTATATTGTGGCCTTTTTGCATCTAATATTTGACAGAAGTTTATTAGACAACTGTCTTGTGATCTTGGTTCATGCTTTGTGAAATCTTAAACTTGTTGACATAATTTTTTTGACATACTTTGTGAAATTAGTTTATAACATCATAGTTTTTAGAATTATAAGAGTCTGGTAACAAGTTCTGTATATAGGAAGCTGGAAATCTGCATCTGAAAACATTGGGATATTCCATATCTTGTATAATAATATATTTGAATAAAACAACGGGCTTAGATAACGCCTGTAATTTTAAACTAACTTATGCCAGATAATGCAATTCCATTTTTTCAGCACACATTCTTATTTGGATGGCATGCATAATTGATTACAAGTTAGGCTTTTAAAATAAAAAGAACAGCGAAAGTCATTGTTATTACAGGAAGAATGAAGTTTGTGTCATAGCGCACATTGGAATGTATGATAGTTTCCATTTAGAACAACAACATTTGAATAAACCAATGAACTAAGCTAAAAGAAGTGCTTGTGAAGTATGATTGCTCAAACCTCTAGCATATATTTTATAACATAAAGTTTAAGTTATGCCAGTCAATATAATTATATGGCCATGGCCATACTGTGGTTTTAGTCTTATGAGGGGAGTCTGCAATTGTCATTTGAGCTGATGGGAGGAAATTATACAATGATAATACTTTTGATTATAGGAGAAACATTATCTGTATAAGAAGCACACATTGAGATTTCAAAACATCTAAATTGTTATTTGAGCTAATGGGAGGAAATTATACTATGATAATACTTTTGATTGTAGGAGAAACATTATATGTATAAGAAGCACACATTGAGATTTCAAAACATCTCAATTCAGAGTAGCAATATTAAATAAATGCAAGTGCCATGGGCCGTGATAATAGTTTTTTTTAATTTAGAGAAACATAATCTCGATAAGCATTTTTTCAGGTTTCAAAATTTCTCTCTTTAGAATATTAATATAAATAATAACACGAACCATGATTAAAGCTGTAAATTTTTTAATAGACTAAATCTGAAGCATGGATTCTTTAATCAAGGTTGGCTTCTCTCACTCTTTCATCCATGTAAATATACCGTAATATTAGATTTTGTGTTTGTGTAAATGACAAAAAACATGAGCACTGAGTGTCCTAAAAGAATTGTACTGGTGCTCATTTTTCACTAGAAAGTTCAAAGCTGAGAATCAATTTCCCTTGAATGTATATATAAGCATTCCCATTCTATTTGTTCTGTGAATTTACACACCGGAAACTTCCCAGCTGTGAACTTACGATAGCACTGGTGCTTATTTTTCACTAGAAAGTTCAAAGCTGAGAATCAATTTCCCTTGAATGTATATATAAGCATTCCCATTCTATTTGTTCTGTGAATTTAAACTGCTTTAACCATCGATGATTTAGTTGAGTAGTGTTGTTTTTTATCTCTAAAAGTGAGGTCTAAGATTTGAATCCATCCCGAAAAAAATTAATAAGTATTTTTTTGCTTTTATAATACTAGAGAACACGCTTACTGCAATGCAGCTCTGTTGGCTTTTAGCTTCATATGAAACTGGGATAATTTAAAGATGCTCATTTGCAATCAGAACCTTCGTGCTAGGAATCAGCTATCTAGATTACAGATTCTCGTTCGTGTAATACACTGTTCTGGCTTTGGATGAGTTTAGAGATAATAAATCTCGTTTGAAAATGTGAGCACACAATATCCCAATTTTGATAAAAAAGGGAACCTAAAATTTTTCCTAAAAATATATCTCATTTTTTGCATTTCTCGAAAGTCCTCAAAACTTTTTTTTTTATACAATTTTACATTTTGTAAACTATTAATATATTTAATCTTATAAAAATAATTAATAAAATCAATTACTTCATTTAAATATACACATTTAACAAACATACAAACATGCATACAGGCAGACAGACATACAAACAGGGAAAGGATAAGGGAGGAAATTGAATCTCACACATACACACATTTAACAAACATACAGACATGCATACAGAAAGACATACATACATACAAACAGACACACACACACATATTGACACGCATATATATGCATACATACATGCATCTATATATATACATATTCTTATATATTCTTATATACATTTTGACATGATATGAAGGTGGTATAAATGTTTAAAGTAGAGTTTAAATGATAGATATGTAAATACAAAGAAATTGGTTGGTATGCATGTAAATGCTCAAGTGTTCCAATCTGCATCCATCATTTTTTATCTGCATGAAACACATTGTAAAGAAGCCAATGGAATCTATTCCAACATCCCAGGCATGGAACCTCCACAAAGATGGGAAGGTATTAGACATCATGGACTCCAACCTCTCCTCCTACAGCACCGACGAAGCTTTTCTATGCATCCAAATCGGTCTCCTGTGCTGCCAGGCCATCGTATCCGATCGACCGGACATGTACAACGTTCATCTCATGCTCTCCAGCGACTCGTTCAACCTGCCAAACCCCGGCATGCCGGGAATAAGGGGAAGGACTGGAGGTTGGATTAGCACCTCTTCAGCTCTCTCAAACACCAACACAGACAAACGTAGTAGCACAAATACTGGCACTGAAATAACTAAGGTATCCACTTTGTCTAATTTAGGGGAATCCTCATCAAGTTCTACTTTGTACAGTACTGTAGAAGACTATTCAAGGAATTCAATTTCTGTTTCTTTGACTTCTGCTGGAAGGTGATGGCTTTCTGAACAGGATTTAGGAACTTTTGATTGTGCACAGACTTTTATGGAATAGAAATGTGAATGCATTGCAGTTGGTTCTTTTGATTGATTTGGTTTAGTTTCAATCAGATGGGGCCCCAAGACTTTCATATTTACATATGTATGGCTCAAAGCATTGTGTTAATTCATGTAAATCAAGCGAGTTAACACCATAAAAGGGAAAAATATTTAGGGTGTATTTTAGATATCTGTTGCTTTTGAAGAAACAGTTATGAAGTTGCTTCATGAGAAAGTTACTGTTAGAAAGCTGCTGATTATATACCAGTCTATCTGTTTGGATAATCAATTTTGTTGTAGTTGTTATTAGAAAAAAGAATGTAATGCCCTTATAGGTATATGTTAGTTGTATATTTATAGTTTCAATAGTAATTCTAGCAGAATAACAAAAATAAATTAATATTTCAAAAAGATGATAGGAGTCCAATCCTCATGCTACGTCAAGTTTAACACAACACTTAACACATAATAACATAATAATAAAGATTACAAAAACAACAATTAATATTATCATGATATCTGTGTGTGTGTGTGTGTAACTTTTCTAAGGTGAGGATAGTGAGAATAAGAATGAAAATGAAAGTAAAATAAATGCATATTTGATATTGCATGGTAGTGAATAAAAGAATTACAATTAGCAATTTTCTTATTTTTAACCACTATATCTTATACCGCTTTTAATTCTATTTTCTGTACTTTTAAGTATTAAAACATGCTCATTTATTATTGCTGCTCTTGGACATATTAGTCATTGACCAGCATACATGTTTATTTTATATATATTTGGGTCTTATTTTAGGATTATTTATTTCACTGAGAGTGTAGCTTACTAGATACTATATTGTTGATTTTTATAGAGGGGTAAGGAGTAGGTAGACCGTTAGCCAGGTGATGTGACATTATATATAGCTTTCTAATGTAAAATTTTGGTTGATTATATAACACTTTTGGTGTTTGTATAATATTTTTTAAAAATATTTTTTAGGAGCTTTGTATATTATTTGAGGCCTGTTTATACATACTTCCTGATTTATGTTGATATCAATGAATATTTAATTAATTGAAATATAAGAAATTGCTTGTAACAATTTGGTAAGAATAATTTTCTATTAACTTGATCTTGACTCGTACAAGACATGATAGGTGTCGGTGAAAATTGAGTATGACCGAGTTATCAGGTTGACTTAGCTTTTGACTTGGGCATGATAATTTGATCATGGGCAATGCGAGACAATAGCTTATTTAGCATGTTTCTCACAGGGTCAAACCAGCATCTATAAGCGTTCAAATTAATCTTCTTTAGCTGATTCTCAGTAGGAGCTATAAATAGGATAATTTTTTGCAATTATTTAAATAAATAAATAAATTGTATTCCTTCTATTGTTTACTCTGTTAACAGGCTCATTTCTTGATCCTTGAGCATTGACATTTAATTTTTGGCGGAAAATCGGCCTGTTTATTTTATAGGCATCGTGTTTATTTCAATGGAGATTGATTCTGAATAGCACTTTTTCGTATTGGAAAAATATATTTCATCTGCAAGCCTTTACAAAATATGATGCATTTTTTTTATTGTCCTCTCCTGCAGCACTTCACATGGCTGCTGCAAATGGGCACGTTGATATTGTAGAGTATCTTATCCGCAATGGAGTGGTAAGGAGGCAATAACACGGTAGCCCTTCATTCACTTTGCTGAAAGTTTATTTTTTATCATTCATTAAGTTCTTTTGTTCTTTTTACAGAATTTATTGTGAGCCAGCGTACTGATATATTAGTCCTTTGATGCCTGCATCTTTTTTATTTCCATAAAGCACGCACAGTTGATAGTTTAGCACCGTGAAACTCATCAACACAATCCTTCCGTTTAAATATTAGGACAATTGGACCTTACATTAGTGATTGATGCAAAATTTGACTTTTGTTTTAATGTCGGTTTTTGGGCAATGTCAGTGTCCAAAACATGAGCCATTATTAATTTTTTTACTTAACCTTTCATTGTCACACCCCGGCTCCGGAAAACGGTACACTCTGGTAATGTAGGATATGATGAAATAAATTCTATCTATTTTGGATTCTCAAAAAAGACTTACATGCAAATAAAAAAGGAATGTAAATTTTATTATTACTGAAAAATTCACTGATACAACTGAATTGAAAACAAAAAACTATATGAATTAAAATAGAGATGATAACATTAAACAATTACGCAGGCTCAAAAAAGAAAAAAATACAATCGCCAAATAAAATATTGAAAAAAACACTAAGACGAGAAAAAATAAAACCGAAAAGCCTGCTCCGATGGAGACAATCCTACCGATGGCTGAATATAATCTATTATACGAAAATGACAATGAGTGAGCTTGACAACAAACTCAGTAAATAACATATATCTATTAATGCATAAACAACAAGGGGAATGAGATGTGCAGTAAGGACAATCACAGTGTGCATATGTAACTATGTAAGACTACAAGAGAGGGGTAAACATCAAATATACATTTCATACGAAAATATACCATAATTTTTCATCAAGTTTTTTATTATTCAGTTTCAATTGTTATTTATATAGTCGGTTTTAACAGACATCCTGAAATCTGAAACCTAGAAGCTCAATACCAACTCAAGGAAACATGACAATTTCCTGTAGTCGTTTGTGAGTCCATCAACCAGACTAGCCAAAATCCAAAATAATTTTACTAACCTACATATCATCACACATAAGCATGCCAAATTATTTTCACATATATAAGAGGGGGAAGTTCGACCAGGGATCAAAGGTTATAAAAGGGGTGGGGTAGAGTGAACGAGATGAGGTGTGGTAGTTCCCTATCCTTCAGCCTCGCTTTATAAGGAGCGAAGTCGGTGCGATCGAGCAAAATTTGGGAAGGCGACATAAACACATCGAGAGAAAAAGGAAATAAATCGCGAGAAATGGCATGAAGAATCGTGCGAAGGTATAGAGAAATTTTCGGTTTTTACATACTACACTTCATAAAGGAATTTGGTCCCCAAATTCTTACCTTAGTTCTAGAATAGTTGTGGGTACTTCATGATAATCTCTTCTTCAATCTCCCAATTATTTCTCGTTCTGACGGATTCTTTCAAAGCACTATGACAAAAGGAATTGATCGGCGGTGAAGTTGTTAAACTTCACGTTTCAAGATACGATCTGGTGCTTCTCCATAACTCAGGTCTCCTCAAATTACCAAATGCTCGTATAAAATAATATGGGTCATATGCACAATGCTGAAGTAGAGTGACATGAAAGATATTGTGTACTCCTGCAAGTATTGGAGGAAGAGTCAAACATTATGAAACTTTATTGACTTTCACGATCATCTCGAATGGATCAATGAAACGAGGCTAAAGTTTTCCAGTATATCGCATGACTCCGCGCATAGGTGAAGCTTTCGGAAGAATATGATCTCTGACTTTGAATTCAATCTACCTACGCTTTAGGTCTACGTATTTCTTTTGACGATTATTCGTCTCTCGCCGGCCCCGAACCAACACAAGGGGGATCTACACTTTGTCATGAAGTATTTCGTATGACACCATGTTAATATTAGGCTTGAAGCTATTGTTATGAAACTCTACCAACGGAATATAGTCCTCCCAGCTACCTCTGAAATCCAAAATGCAAGCTCTCAACAAATCTTTTAAGGTTTGAATGGTGCACTCCGACTGTTCATCTGTATGAGGATGAAAAGTAGTACTGAAGTTCAATCTCGTGTCACAGCTTCTTGCACTTGTTCCCATAGCCCATGAAAATGCAACTTCTTTCTTTATTGAAAATTGACTTTAAGAGAATATGCTGTAAAATCATTATTGCTAGCATTATCTAAGGTGATAGTAGATACCTTATCTTGAAGATTTCAGTCTAATAAGCAAGCAGAAAAAGCATGACAAATGAATGTACCACTATGAGGTGGTTCTAGCTCAAGAAAAATTATGATTTTCTTTTGCAAGTTCCAACATTCATCTATGTATTGAATAGTTAGGCACATATAACCATTGTTTGGTTTGATGTCCAGCAATTAGAAGTCAATGGACCCTATGTATATCTTTTAGATAAGTTCATTCTCAAAATCATATACCTTAATGCAATCATTTTTAATCACGTTTCTAGACACCCTCTCTTAATTTGGATTTAAACTATTCAGCAACACATGAACCACATATGCTAAAAAATCATGAATGGATATTCATGCACAATAATCATCTTAACAATTATCTCTCTAATTATGAAAAATAAGAATATCAATATCTGAATCTGCATCTAAAGGCAATAAGTTTAACATTTTTTGTCATTTTTTGATGAGTAAAAAACAAGTTTGTTCTTATCTTTAATTTTTTCGCACTCCTTTACATACCCAAGGATTTATGAGGTAGTGCCACTTTTGGATTTTTGAAACTTCGTACCACAATATGTGCACTGCACAAAAAGGAGTTGCAACTCTTTTGGATGTGAAAATTTTTTCCACAAAATATTGCAACACTATGGATATCCCTTCCTACTATTCTTATTTGTGGGGACTTCAACACTGCAAATCTCACTACTCTCAACAATCACTACATGCGTGGGTTGTAAGTCAAGAATTTGATTTTCATTAATATTTTGAACTTCAAATGACAATTCATTAGGAGATGATGAGGTTTTAGAATGATCCAATGTTGACATTACAACTTGCAACACACTAAACAAAGAATATAAGTTAATTATTTCTTGCTCGTTCAATTCCTTTTAATAAACCAATAAAATAGCCACCGGTTAAAACTAGCTAAACATGCTTTCAGAATTCAGATTGAAGAAAATTGGATTTCAGAAAAGATAACAATAGAATTTTCTCAACTCATCATTACTACTTTATCCCAATATCTTTCATTAGTTCATTACATAAATTAGATTTTAAAACTCAGAATATGTTCAAACTCAGCCTAAACTCGATAAGATAACAAATGAACATGTTTGAACATGATAAATCGCAGCCTAATTTATCAATTTTCATCCCTATTTGAGAAGAAGAATTCTATGAGAAAAAATGAGCAACTACAGCGGAAAATGTCTGCATAAATATAGAAGAAAAACATAGATGTAATTTCTATTCAGAGATGTAGCTACATGATAAGTTTACTTCCTGAAGGTGTCGGAAAAAAAATTGGTAAATGATTTCCTGATACCTTAAACACTTGAATTCAAACAAACAAATGATATCAAATGTTTCTTAAAAGCATGACAATAACATTCAATCTGATCATGTGATGTGCAGATCGATCCACATAGTACGTGCATAGCTTGCAAGAATAAAATATTATGAGTAAATAATCATAAAAATTTCACCACTTTGATTTCCGAGAAACAAACATGTCTTTAAAAAGTTAGCCAATAATCTCTTCAATTATAATAGAATGACAAACTATTATAAAGTTGCAGAAAACTAGATCTGCAAAAGATAGTGATAATCCCAAAATCGATTCACAACAAGACCACAAAAACCAGAAAGATCTAGAAATGTAATAGGATAATAGCAACACTCAATAAACTAGCAATGGATCTAGATAAATAAAAAAAAAGTAACAAATTATAATGGCAATAGATCCAAGAACAAAAAGAAAAACGAAAAAAATATCGCAGCGATACATAGATCCAAATCATGAAAGGAAAGGGGGGGGGGGGGGGGAAAAAATAAAAAATAAGAACCCTTGGTCGGAATCCACAAAACAATCACCATAAAGAAAAGAAAATAGAAGAAACAATTTGCAAAGAGCCTTTTCAATTTGATTGCAGGCTTCACAACATCTCTTCATCGAGTGATAAAATAATCTTATCTCTTGGTCGTAGCCCTAGGGAAGAAAAGGAAACACAGAGTACCACAGCACGAAAGAAGAAAAGAGACGGCTCGCGAGTTTAGGGCTCATTAGTATTATAGTAAATATAGTTACTTTTTATTAATAAGAATAAAATTTAGGATTGTTGATTTGATCCAATGTTTGAGATTAATTTCAAATTTTTTAGAATAAAGAAATTCAATTTAAGTGATTTAATATATTTTTACATTAAATATATAATAAAATTTTAATATAAAAATATTATAATTATTTTTTTAAATTAATTATTTTTTTCAAGCTAAAATGAGCCGAGCCGAACAAAATCGAACAAAGGGTTATTCGTGTTCGACTCATTTATAAATTGAGCTAGAAAAACTTGTTCATTTTTGGCTCGTTTGTTTAACAAACAAATGGAACACGAGCTACTTACTAAGCTGAATGCGAGTTGTTCGTGAACAACAAGCTTTTTTGATAGCCTTAGAGAAGGGGAGATAGATGAGGGTTACCTTCCTCAATGGTTTCAAGCAGGTGCACACGGAAGGAGGAGGGGTGCCACGATCTCATCGTTGCCTTCTCGGCAAGCTCCATGCGCGACGATGTCCCAAGGGTTCGGTTCGGGCGGTCAGAGAGAGAGAGAAGAGGGGGGAAGCTCTGCAAGGGATCAGAGGTTATAGAAGAGGGCGGGGGAGAGCGAGTGAGATGAGGCGTGCTAGCTTCCCATTCTTCAGTCCACTTTAATAGGGAACAAAGTCGGTGTGATCAAGCAAATTTTGGGAAAGCGACACTAGTGCATCGAGAGAAAAAGGAAATAAATCGCAAGTCCGAGTTAGGAAGGCGTGCGAAAAATGAAAAAAAGATTTGCATGGATGGAACAAGGCTAAAGAGAAATTTTCGGCTCTTACATTCACATGTTCGCATTTTAGCTATTTTCTTAATGGGCTATTCTTGATGATATCCATTTTTACATGTGTCCTAACAATTTTGTATTGTTTTATTTCGATACCTTATTATTCGCAACCAAAATAATTTTCAAATACTTCAAAAAGTAAATGAAAATTGTTTAGGATTGATATACACTTTTTGTTCGCATGACATCAACAATCATGATTCAATATTATTAAAAGATAAGGTGATCTTAAGCTTAATAAGCTAAAGTAACTTGGATTTATTATATATAAAAAATGGGGATACGAATAAGGAGATAAATTTTTAAGCTATGGCTTAATGGTTAAAATTTAAATGTGCATAGGGAGTTTTGTATGATGGGAGAATTGCATGGATGTTTAAAAATAAATTTTATAAAATTGTAGTTTGAATTCAGGTTGGTTGGTTGAATTAGAGGAATACATCACGCTTATTGTGTGATAGAAAAGTACCGCTTAGACTTGAAGGAAAATTTTATAAGATGGCGGTGAGCCCTGCAATGCTTTATGGCGCAAAATGTTGGCCTTTAAAAAAGAAAGCATTAAACAAAGTTAAGTATTGCTGAGATGAGAATGCTTAGATGGATGAGTGGCTTGACACTTTGAGATAAATGCGAACCAATCAATCTGTTGAAGGGTTAGTGTAGCTCCAGTGACAGACATGATTAGATAGAGTCATCTGAGATGGTTTGATCACATTAAACGCCGACCATTTGATGATCCGGTTAGGGGAATAGATATTTTTTATTTAACCTATCTTAAGAAAGGCAGTGGCAGACCTAAAAATATTTGGTTTTATTGTACAAAAGATGATCTTAATCTATTATAATTAAATGAAAATATGACACTCAATAGGACACAATGGAGAGAAAAGATTCATGTAGCCGATCTCACTTAGTGGGATAAAGACTTCCGGTTGTTATTGTTGTTGTGTAGTTTGATAGTGAATGCTTGATTTATCTAAATATCGACTCTAAAAAATGAATCGATATTTTAGTTGACTGTGACAAAATAAGAATATTAAAATGGTCGTATGACAAGGCTAATAAATATTTTTAAAAAAATGAGTGCTTAGAGAATAAGTTAAGTGTCATCTTATGTAAGGTAACTGAAAAATATAAGGTTTACATACACATAACAAAAAATAATAAGATTTACATATATCACACCTAAACACACACACACACACACACACACACACACACACACACAG